TTTGCTTCTTCCTTGCAGAATCCAAGCTGCTTGACGCTGAGAAGCCGACTGCCCTCCGTGTGGACAACAAGTCGGCAATCACGGTCGGTAAGGGCTTGGGGCTGACGGGCAACCTCAAGCGCATGGAGCAATGCTACACCTGGCTACAGCACATGGTGAGGCGCGGGAAGTTTGTGCTAAAGTACATCCCGACCACCGAGCAGCCACCCAATTTTCTGACAAAGGCGCTGCATTTTCCGGCTTTCAACCAGTGCTCTGTCACCATCGGCCAAGTTCGCCTGGCTGATGTCGGCGACAGTGACGACGAGGTGTAGCAGTAGGAGCCGTGCCCTTCTGCACGGCTGGTGCGGTGACGGCGTGCTATGTGTGGGGTGCACGCCGAGGACGAGTCTTCTCCGTCGAGTACTACCGTCCGGGCTGGTGGCCCAAGCGTGAGCGCGGTAGGGGAGTGTTAATGGGAATGGAGTGTTGGCCCTGCCCTCGCTTGGGCAACGCCAACGACTCGGTCGGATGTACGGGAGAATCAGCCGACTGTTCACAGTAGGAGAGCTGCTCGACAGGCTTCGTCGAGCTGCAGGAGACCTCTGTGGCGTTGCTGTCGACCAGGGAATTCGACAGCTGCAGCTGACTGGCCTAAGGGTCGGGTGGGCCGTCAACCAGGAGGAGCAGTTCAACCGGGAGGTCGCCGGAAATTACGTCGACCTTACATGTGAGAAGCGGTCGATGAGGGGAGCTCAGCGACAACAGCTGACAGTTCTGGTCGACGGAAGGGGTCCGACGACCAGGGAATAGCTGGACGGGAGCGGTGGTTGACCAGAGGCACTGGTGGTCGACCAGAGCACCCGTTGGTCGTCTAGGTTGACCAGGTAACCTGCTCGGCGATTTCTGCGGGGGCACGCGAACGTCGTCGAGGTCGAACGTCGTTAAGGTCGCGATGGCAAAGGCGACTTCGGGCTAGTATCTTGAAGTTGATGTGGCTCGTCAGGCACAGACAACAGCTGACGGATGCACAACGGTGCAAGTACTAAGAAACTAAGCAAAGCTACGATCACTCCAAGTGGTTCGTGCCAACCCCCGTAGTCTAGCTCAATACCGTTGTAGAGTGATTCTCCGCAAACACCACCTCCAACGTGGTGACCATCTTGTTGTCGGTAAGGTCAAGGACCTCCATACCTTTTCTCTCCTTTGACGCGCCAAGGTGAAGGCCCCACCTAGCCTTTGGCACCAGCTTCCCACCGCGCTGCTGCTCAGGGACCAAAAGTTGCGCCATGCAGCCCCACACACACGCTAGTGTCAAGTATGGCTTCTTGCCAGTCATCAGCTAGTGCGGCGTCGTCCCCGGCTTCAACACCGACCGTTCAAGGTTTTGCGCACCCAAACAACCTGCCGCAGGGTGAGGTGCCACTAGTGGTGCTGCACTCCTATGTGCAGCAGCATCATCCGCACCGACTCGACCACCATCCGCATGTCCCACCCCGCCATGCCGTTCTGTTGCGGAGTGTATAGACAGGTCATGTCGTGGAGGATGCCCTTGTCGTCAACGAAGGCGGTAAACTCCTTCTCGAGGAACTCCCATCCACGGTCGGAGCAAAGCATCAGCACCGACTTCTTCGTTTGCCATTCCACCAGCAGCAGCCACTTCTTGAACTCCCGCACTACGATAGACTTATTGGCAACCGACCTCACCTACACGAAGCGGGTCTGGCGGTCCTTCAGCAGAAGGCAGTAGAGGCTGCCATCCTTGTCGGCCACCAGGAACGGCCCACACAGGTCGATCTGTACGACGGCCAGGGCCTCGTCGGCGTCCGAGCCCTTGTCAGGGAACGTGTACTGCGCCAACTTCCCGCCAACGCAGGAAACGCAAGGCAAGTCGGCCCCGGCCGACGGCTTGATGTCGAGGCCGGTGGCTATTCCGTGCTTCACCCAGCTTGTAATGGTGTTGACGCCGACGTGCGTGAGAAGGACGTTCTGCGCGACATGCAGATCCACCGGCCACCACCTTATGAATTTCTTCGACCTCCAGTGCCCTCGAGGCACTAAAATCTGCATGCAACCGCTTTTGAATGTCCTGGGCTTTTCCTTCATGAGGCAAACTTTGATTGGAACGTGCTCCAGGTTCCTGTCAAGCTTTCCATGCGTTGCGCAACAATCCTCCCTCTCTTGTAACCACGTAACGAAGGTGCAATTTTTTGCTGAATAACCCTCTCTAGCCACTGGCTTTTGGAATTTCAGCAGTGGTAGAAAAGGCTTGAGCTACCTTAGCCAAGAGAAATTTTATCATCAAGTTTTGCTTCACTAAAAAATAACCGTATTGCAAATGTATTCTGGCAAAGGGAGGAAAAATCTGTTGGACCTTTATCCGTGCTTTGTTCCAATGAAAAACAAGATGGCATGAGATGAGTACTACCAATCCACACCGTGAAGAAATACAAAGAGTCTTGACGACCCAAATTGTCTATCAAAGGGCATTTGCCAACACACCCAAGTCCAAAAGCCCAGAGTTACTTATAAATGTTGCCTTCAGAAGCGTCTTCGTCAGAATTGTGAATAAGCCATGGATCCCCCACAGCAATAAATTTTGCAAGTTACGTGCACCCCTTCAAGCAATAGAGAAAAGATTTGTTCCCCATTTAACAACCGCATGAACTGAAACGACTGTTGCGCGCCTCAACAACCATAGACGACCAAGCAATCCATCATGTGTGCTGCATGAAAAGGAAATGTTGCCGTCTGTGTCAGGAAATATGGGGTTTGATATGCTTTTGTGCCTTTTTATCGTCTCCACTCCCCCGCATCTCATATTGCGTCTCTTCGGACATGCGACCTCTCACCCTTGCAGCGACCTCTCACACAACATGCTCACGGGAAGCATTCACACGGAAATGGGCAGCTTGGTGCTGCTTATGGACCTGTCAGTGGAACCGAGCCACCTCTCTCTCCCTGTCCCCGCCCGTCCATATCGCACTCGGTTGCGACTCTGCACTCGCATATTCTTGCAATGCAGCATGCATTCATGCATATGCTCTCACATGCCCCATTCTTTCTCATTCTGTGTGCCCTCCTCACCTCACTCACATGCACCCTCTCTCACATCCGCTGCTCTCAAATCCCCTGCATGTAGCTTTCCATTCCAATTGCTGTCTGCTATAAACTCAAGGATCACCTTGGTCCGCCCATCACAGGCACCTGGACTACAACAAGCTAGGAAGCACCATGTCTGACGCCCTGAGTACCCTCACCAATGTGATCCGCCAGTCAGTTACACCCCCCTTTTCCGAGCCCTCCCTGCTTCACAGCCTGCTCCTGCCCTTCCCTCATGCTCATGTTACAACTGTGCATCACTCTCCCTCCTGCACACATATCTACGCAGCAAGAGTTAACCGCATGGCACCTGGCTTTTCCTTCACTCACTCAAACGAAACTTGTTCTCTCTCCCTCTCCCACATTGCATTGATAACCCACTTCTACGCAATGGTTGTCCATCCCTCTCCCCCTCCCACATCGCATTGATAGCCTGCTTCAACGCACTCCATATCTCCAGCTCCGTTTTAGCCCTGTAACTACGTTATGCAGCCAATCCGTGACTGTTTCTGAGGCGCTTCAAAACTAGAAAAAGCCGTGGGCTTGCGTTTCTGAGACTGTGTGACTGCGTTCACCCCATGCTGCGTGCTCCTCTCAGGTCCATGGCCAGCAACGAGCTGGAAGGGCCAATCCCTGCCTTCCTCACTTCCTTCGCTGAGCTCTCCCACCTGTCAGTGTACCCACATACCTAACTTGTCATGGCGTAGCCAGCAGAATTTCTGTCATATCTTTCCTTCGGTGAGCATCGAACCCTCTATCTCCCGACTCCCGTCCACACCCTCTTTCCCTCATTCAACCCACTTCCTTCACTCCCTCCCTCCCTCCCTCTCTCCCTCCCTCCCTCCCTCCCTCCCTCCCTCCCTCCCTCCCTCCCTCCCTCCCTTCCTCCCTCCCTACCCGACCCCTCGCCAGCTCGCTCCACGCCAACCAGCTCTCGGGCTCCATTTCTGATGACATTGGCAACGTCGTTGTTCTAGAGACGCTGTGAGCACCGCACTGCACTGCACACCTTCCTCCCTTTTACAAGTCCCTCTTTTTCCTCCTTATTCCATCCCTACCCCTCGTATTACCTTCTCTATTTTTGGTTCAATGCTGCATCCTCACTCTTCCTTTCATCGTGCTCCCCATGCTAGTGCGTATGCACTATTTGCACACTCACTCACTGTTCACTCACCTCTCCCTACTGATCTCTACCACACTCTAATTCTTCGAACCACTTAACCCAATACACCCCCACCTTTCGTCTCCCCTCTATTTTGAACCCTTACCCTTGTGATCCGTCGCCCAGTGTGCTATCCAACAATAAGCTTACAGGAGTCATACCCACTTCTATAGCCTTCTTAGCGAACCTTTGTGACCTGTGAGGGACTGAAGGATGGGGAAGAGCGAGTGGGTGTTCATTAACAAGAGAGGTGCACATAATTTGTAACCACCTGAATGTCCTCACAAGAGAATGAGAGAGGTGGTTACGACATTAATGTTCGACAGGTGGTTACAATATAAATGTTCGAGGTTACAACATCGTCCGTCTTCACAAGAGAGTTTTGAGAAATCACAACAACCCTCATTTTGTTGCGCACATAGCTTCCTCTTGTCATGCTGTTCAGAGAAGGCTAACAGCCCGATTGTTAGGGTGTGGTAAATTTGGGTTCGAGGTGGGTTTTGAACAAGATTTTTGAACAAGATATTTGAACAAGATTTTTGAAAGAACCCACGGGAAAGAAATGTAGGCATCATGTTTGAAATGGTTATCTGCCATGCATTGTGCTCACTCAAAGTTGGAATTGCTTTTGAACAACTTTGTTCCACACCCTTCCATGCCATGCCATTTCATTCGTGCCATTCCATGCCATGCCATCTCACTTCATGCCTTGCTGAACCCTGTTCCACATGCCTGCACTTCCTCCTCACCCAGTGTGCTATCCAGCAACACGCTGACAGGAGTCATACCCACCTCTATAGGCGCCTTGACGAATCTCTATACCCTGTGAGGGAGGGAAGGAGGGAGGGAGGGGGACGAGCGAGTGAGTGTGCACGGAGTGGGTAGCAAGGGGTGGAGATCAGTGGTAACCATGATATAGCAATAGAGGTGGTTACCATGTTGGCCATCCCTGCGAGAGAGTTTTGAGAAATCGCAACAACCCTCATTTCGTTGCACACACAAAGCTTCGTCTTGTCAGGCTGTTCAGAGAAGTCCAACTACTGCCATGGCATGTCATTCACCCCATCCCACCTTATACTTCCAGCCAACTGAACGACAACAAGCTTGAGGGGTCCATTCCAAGCACGACAGCTCAGCTGCAGGAGCTCCTATGGCTGTACAAAACAGACCATACCTGCCCAAGTTGTGTTCCCACGTTGCCATACCCATACAATGTTGCACGCGGTCTTTGAAATTCCTGAAAATGGTCATTTTTTGCCTGGCTTCTGTCTTGCATCTCTTTTGCAGGTGTATCATTGTGCCTCGCTGTATGTATTTCAAAAGCAGCAAACGGTTCTTGCACACTGCTCTTCAGGCGCACACCCCACCACACTGCACCACACCTCACATTCACCAATTTCCTCCTATCCCTCGCACCATGCCTCACATTCACCACTTTCCTCCTACCCCTCGCACCACGCCTCACATTCACCACTTTCCTCCTACCCATCGCACCACGCCTCACATTCACCACTTTCCTCCTACCCCCCGCACCACGCCTCACATTCACCATTTTCCTCCTACCCCCTGCACCACACCTCACATTCACCAGTTTCCTCCTACCCCTCGCACCACGCCTCACATTCACCACTTTCCTCCTATCCCTTGCACCACGCCTCACATTCACCACTTTCCTCCTACCCATCGCACCACGCCTCACATTCACCACTTTCCTCCTACCCATCGCACCACGCCTCACATTCACCACTTTCCTCCTACCCATTGCACCACGCCTCACATTCACCACTTTCCTCCCACCCATCGCACCACGCCTCACATTCACCACTTTCCTCCTACCCCTCGCACCACGCCTCACATTCACCACTTTCCTCCTATCCCTCGCACCACACCTCACATTCACCACTTTCCTCCTACCCCTCGCACCACGCCTCACATTCACCACTTTCCTCCCACCCCTCGCACCACGCTTCACATTCACCACTTTCCTCCTACCCATCGCACCACGCCTCACATTCACCACTTCCCTCCTACCCCCTGCACCACGCCTCACATTCACCACTTTCCTCCCACCCCTTGCACCACGCCTCACATTCACCACTTTCCTCCCACCCATCGCACCACGCCTCAATTTCACCACTTTCCTCCTACCCCTCGCACCACGCCTCACATTCACCACTTTCCTCCTACCCATCGCACCACGCCTCACATTCACCACTTTCTCCTACCCATTGCACCACGCCTCACATTCACAACTCTCCTCCCACCCATCGCACCCCGCCTCACATTCACCACTTTCCTCCTACCCCTCGCACCATGCCTCACATTCACCACTTTCCTCCTATCCCTCGCACCACACCTCACATTCACCACTTTCCTCCTACCCCTCGCACCACGCCTCACATTCACCACTTTCCTCCTACCCCTCATACCACGCTTCACATTCACCACTTTCCTCCTACCCATCGCACTACACCTCACATTCACCACTTTCCTCCTACCCCTCGCACCACGCCTCATATTCACCACTTTCCTCTTACCCCCCGCACCACGCCTCACATTCACCACTTTCCTCCTACCCCCTGCACCACGCCTCACATTGACCACTTTCCTCCTACCCCTCGCGCCACGCCTCACATTCACCAGTTTCCTCCTTTCCCTCGCATCACGCCTCACATTCACCACTTTCCCCCTACCCCCTGCACCACGCCTCACATTCACCACTTTCCTCCTACCCCTCGCACCACGCCTCACATTCACCACTTTCCTCCTACCCATCGCACCACGCCTCACATTTACCACTTTCCTCCTACCCCCCGCACCACGCCTCACATTCACCACCTTCCTCCTACCCCCTGCACCACGCCTCACATTCACCACTTTCCTCCTACCCCTCGCACCACGCCTCACATTCACCACTTTCCTCCTATCCCTCGCACCACGCCTCACATTCACCACTTTCCCCCTACCCCTCGCACCACGCTTCACATTCACCACTTTCCTCCTACCCATCGCACCACACCTCACATTCACCACTTTCCTCCTACCCCTCGCACCACGCCTCACATTCACCACTTTCCTCCTACCCCCCGCACCACGCCTCACATTCACCACTTTCCTCCTACCCCCTGCACCACGCCTCACATTCACCACTTTCCTCCTACCCCTCGCGCCACGCCTCACATTCTCCACTTTCCTCCTTTCCCTCGCATCACGCCTCACATTCACCACTTCCCCCCTACCCCCTGCACCACGCTTCACATTCACCACTTTCCTCCTACCCCTCGCACCACGCCTCACATTCACCACTTTCCTCCTACCCATCGCACCATGCCTCACATTTACCACTTTCCTCCTACCCCCCGCACCACGCCTCACATTCACCACTTTCCTCCTATCCCTCGCACCACGCCTCACATTCACCACTTTCCGCACCATGCCTCACATTCACCACTTTCCTCCTACCCATCGCACCACGCCTCACATTCACCACTTTCCTCCTACCCATTGCACCACGCCTCACATTCACAACTTTCTTCCCACCCATCGCACCACGCCTCACATTCACCAATTTCCTCCTACCCCTCGCACCATGCCTTACATTCACCACTTTCCTCCTATCCCTCGCACCACACCTTACATTCACCACTTTCCTCCTACCCCTCGCACCACACCTCACATTCACCACTTTCCTCCTACCTCTCGCACCACGCCTCACATTCACCACTTTCCTCCTACCCATCGCACCACGCCTCACATTCACCACTTTCCTCCTACCCATTGCACCACGCCTCACATTCACCACTTTCTCCTACCCATTGCACCACGCCTTACATTCACAACTTTCCTCCCACCCATCGCACCACGCCTCACATTCACCACTTTCCTCCTACCCCTCGCGCCACGCCTCACATTCACCACTTTCCTCCTATCCCTCGCACCACACCTCACATTCACCACTTTCCTCCTACCCCTCGCACCACGCCTCACATTCACCACTTTCCTCCTACCCCTCGCACCCCGCCTTATATTCACCACATTCCTCCTATCCCTCGCACCACGCCTCACATTCACCACTTTCCTCCTACCCCCCGCACCACGCCTCACATTTACCACTTTCCTCCTACCCCCTGCACCACGCCTCACATTCACCACATTCCTCCTATCCCTCGCACCACGCCTCACATTCACCACTTTCCTCCTACCCCTCGCACCACACCTCACATTCACCACTTTCCTCCTACCCCATGCACCATGACTCACATTCACTAGTTTCCTCCTACCCATCGCAGCACGCCTCACATTCACCACTTTCCTCCTACCCATCGCACCACGACTCACATTCACCACTTTCCTCCTACCCATCGCACCAGGCCTCACATTCACCACTTTCCTCCTTCCCCTCTCACCACACCTCACATTCACGGATTTCCTCTTGCTCCTTTTATCTCACACTGCCCCTCTCTCCTCGCCCCATCTACCCTCCAGTGGCCTCTCCCACAACTCTCTCATCGCCTCTTCGCACTATCTTCTTCATTTGGACTATGCCTGAATCCACCCCTGCTCTCCATCTACCCACCCATTTACTCTCCCTCACACCTCTCTCCCTCCCCCCTTCCTCTCACTGATTCACGTCAATTATCCTCCCCAGCCGCCCCAAGTCACCCTCCTTCCCTTGCTCCCAGTTGATCCCTCCAAACCCCACTCTTCCCCACCATCTTTCCCCTCTCCTCCCTTTACACAACATCCATCAACACCGCAAACCACCCACCCAGGGAGCTATCCAGCAGCGCCATATCCGGCCCAATCCCCACCATCCCGATGGAGCTTTTCTATTTGGGACTCCTGTGAGCTATGTGCTGCATCCATGTTGTAGTCTGGCCTAAATATTTACAAGGACCATTCAGAAGAAAGATGCCGCTTCAATGTGGCGCCAACCTCAACGGAAGCCGCGAAATCTCTCCACGAATAGTGGGCGCAAGCAAACGCCCTCCGCACCATGACCAACAAGGCCTTGTCGGTGGACGAGCTTGGCCTACAGGGCTCGTCGGTCTGTGCCTCTTAGCGAGGCAGTGCTGTTCCACCTTCTAGAGTAAGGCCCCGGAGGAAACTAAGATGAGCTTACGTTGTAGATATTGCTGCTGTATTTGCCTATACCTTGCTGTACATCGTTGAACTAATACGAACGGGCATTCGATGTGCAGTTGGGTGCACTGTCTGCCATTGCAGTGCAACGCCAGTGGTGCAATGCAATATGGAAGTGGCAGGTATGCTTTGTGGCTTGTGAGGGATTCGGGTCCATTGAGGCTGCTATGGCAAAAGCTGCTCTCTCCTGACTGCTGTCTCCAAGCGTGGATGCACCATTTGACATTTCCTCCCCCCTCTCACTGCCTTTTGTCATCCTCTCTCGCCCACCCCAATGGTCCTTCCCTCAGGGATCTCTCAAACAACAACCTGTTAGGTACCATCCCCCCTTCCATCACTAGCCTCACCAACCTTAACGATCTGTATGTGCTACCCTCGGCATGCGCCCTCCCTTCCCCTCCTTGCATGCATTCATTCCCCTACATGCCCCCACCTCCATGCACCTACTCATCTCATAAAGCGAGAGGGAGAGAGAGGGGCACTTAGCCTCTTCCCTCTGAGCCTATCCCCTCGAAGCCTGAGAAAAAGGGAGGCACAGGTGTCTTAGGTCTATATAGAGGCACCTGTGCCTCCCTTTCTCTCATCATTCGTTTTCGGTGTTCACATTTTCAGCTCTTGGCGTCGGACGCGGCCGCTGGCCACGTCTCCTGCCTGCTGTCTCCAAGCGTGGATGCACCATTTGACATTTATCCCCCCCTCTTGCTGCCTTTTGTCATCCTCTCTCGTCCACCTCAACGGTCCCTCCCTCAGGGATCTCTCAAACAACAACTTGTCAGGTGCCATCCCCCCTTCCATCTCCGGCCTTATCAGACTTGCAAATCTGTATGCTCCTCTTGCTATGCACCCTCCTCTCACTTCCCTGTGTACCCTTATCCCTTTGTATGTTCTCAAATCCCTGCACAGATTGTATGACCTTTCCTCTCTGCACGTCCTCTCTCTTGAATGGTCCTTGCATTAATCCAGGGGTGTTACAAAGGGAGATGCAAACACATGCATAACAACAACACAAACGAGCATCCTAGCTATCCCGCCGTCCCCTACCCACTCCCTCCCCCTCAGTCCGACCCTATTGGTTGAACGGAGGCTCAATCAACTGGTGCAGCTACCTCTCACTAAAAGGTGCAATGGGGCCTGCATGCCGAGCTCGCCCGCTGCTAAGGCCTCGTTGGTCTTGGAGCGGAGGGCATTGGCCTTCGCTCGTTGCAGACTAAAGCTCCAACATTGGCGGTACTCGGTCAGCAGCTTGGCCGCCTTGTATGAGGTGGCTGCTGCATTGAAGCGCAGCTTGGCCGCCAGCTCCTCGCACTGCTGCACTTACGCCATCACTCCTGGGGAGGGATAGCGGTATGTCTCAACTGCAAGGGCATGGAAGCCCACCCACGCGTTCCGTCCCACGTACTTCTCCTCTTTCCTAATTGCTGCTGCCCTTGCTGCCCACCTAAGAGCTAGATTGCAGCGCTTGTCCTGGTGGGAGATGGGATCCGTCATAGTCACGTCTCACAACCACACCTCTCCTGTCAGAGGGTGGCTTTCCTAATTGCTGCTGCCCTTGCTGCCCACCTAAGAGCTCGATTGCAGCGCTTGTCCAGGTGGGAGACGGGATCTGTCACAATCACGTCACACAACCACACCTCTCCTGTCAGGGGGTGGCGGATGGAGACATCCGCCTTACGGTTTTCAATGAGAGTAGACATAGGTCTCTTTGTGCACCGTGAAGCCCGCCTCTTCCCCGATGTTCGCTATCTCATCCCGAAGGGCGTGGTGAGTAGCGGTCCTCCCCCTCCCTTTCTCGCAGTGCATGAGGTGGTCGGGGAGGCGGTCATCGGGGAAAGTGGTGCGGTATCGGCAGTCACAGCGCCTGGGCACGGGGAGGGAGAAGCCTAGGCGGAAGGCAGCCGCAGTTGAAAGCTGGAAGGGGCCCATCTAGAGCGAGGAGATGAGGGGAATCGCTAGCAGCCACTCCCCCGCCCCTGGTGCGACAAAGCGCGACACGAGCAGGGGGCCGCTAGCTGACCTGACGCAGACGCAGACGCAGCGACCTGAGGGGACACAGTAGTCAGTGTGTACAGACTCGACCCAGGCATACGGGTAAACGTGGCCAGGTCCCGGCCCGTCCGGGAGCACGTACAGTGGGTCACGCGCTGACCTCCAGGAGTGAACTGGTCAACCCACTGGTCCTGGAGGTCAGCTCCACTCACCAAGTTCGTAGAGAACGAGGGGAGGTGAAGACCTGACAGTGAGCCAGACGGGACTGCCGGACACGGCAGGACCGTGGAGGAGTGCGCAAGTACTGGGCCCCCAGAGGGGTCTGCCAGGGAGACTGCAACCGGCTGACGGAGCGGCGTGAGTGTGGTGCTGTCGCGAAAGAAGGAGCGGGAAGCACCCGAGTCATTTATGAAGGTGTGGAAGGCCTTAGCAGGCGCAGTACCAGAGAGAGCAGACCCACCAGCACCTGGAGCACTAGACTCACTAGCACCTAGAGCAGAAGCCTCACCAGCACCTAGAGTAGGAGACGCACTAGCACCTAGAGCAGCAGCCTCACCAGCACCTAGAGCTGCAGACTCTATACCTGGGTCAGGCGGTACACACAGGTAACAGGCACCCTCAGCACTAGTAGGCAATGCATACATGGCAGTGAGGATAGCATCATAGTCAAGAGCAAAGATATCAACCCTCTGCCTAAGCAGCTCCAGCCAGGCGGGGAGCTTAGCCTCATCGCCAAACTCGGTACGCCAGGCGTCGCTCAGACGGGCGAAGCAGCGGGACTGTGTGTAACCAACCGTCCCGCAAGCGTGACCAGCCCGATCACCTGTGAGAATGACGTACAGGCAGCGAACGGCACTCTGAGACCCTCTTCTCTGAGCGTACCACTCACGAAGCTGCTGGGGCATAGGTGTCGCGCGCGGACGCCGCTGCAGCTGGATCTGGCCACTGCCAGAAGCTCCCGACTGACCAGCTCCAGGGCGACTGCCACGACGGCCACCGCCACAACCCCAACTAGCGTACCACTCACGAAGCTGCTGGGGCGTGAGGCGCGGCTCAGCTGGGCGGCGCGGCTTGGCAGGCAGGCAGGCGGCAGCGCACTAGTAAGGCAAGCGTGCGGGAAACGCGGGTAGGCAGGTGCTCACCAGGGGCAGGTAGGGCAGGCGCTCGCCAGGCGAGCAGGGCCGCGATAGCGGCAGGGCAGGGCCGCGACAGCGGAAGGGCAGGGCCGCGACAGCTGCTGTAGGGCAGGGGCGCGACCGCGGCAGGGTAGGGCCGCGACGGCAGCAGGGCAGGGCCGCGACAGCTGCTGCAGGGCGAGGCCGCGTTGGCGGCAGGGCAGGGCCGCGACAGCTGCTGCAGGGCAAGGCCGCGTCGGCGGCAGGGCAGGGCCGTGACAGCAGCAGGGCAGGGCCGCGTTGGCGGAAGGGCAGGGCCGCGTCGGCGGCAGGGCAGGGCCGCGACAGTGGCCGGGCAGGGCCGCGATAGCGGCAGGGCGGGGCCGCGACAGCGGCAGGGCGGGGCCGCAAGAGCGGCAGGGCGGGGCCGCGACGACTGCTGCAGGGCGGGGCCGCGGCGACTGCTGCAGGGCGGGGCCGCGACAGCGGTAGGCTGGGGCCGCGACTGTGGCAGGGGGCTCCGCGGCAGCTGCTGCAGGGCGGGGCCGCGACTGCAGCAGGGGGCTCCACGGTAGCTGCTGCAGGGCGGGGCTGCGACCGCGGCAGGGCGGGGCTCCGCGGCAGCTGCTGCAGGGCGGGGCAGGTAGGGGCCACGACGGCGGCTGCGGCAGGGGCCGCGACGGCGGCTACAGTGCCGCGACAAGTGGCGGCAGGTCAGGGCCGCAACGAGCGACGCGGCGCAGTCAGGGCCGTGACGTGGGGCGGCAGGGCAGGGCCGCGACGAAGGGCGGCAGGGCATGGCCGCATTGGGCGGCTACAGCGGGTGGGCCGCAACGGCGGCTTCGACGGGGGCACGACGGCGGCTGCAGGCTCGATGGCAGCTACGACGGGGCCGTGACGGCGGCTACAGGCACGACAGCGGCATGGTAGGGCAGGGCCATGACCAGGCGCTCGACGGCAGCCGTAGGCACTCGACGGCAGGTACGGCTAGCGCGCGACAGCGCACAGCAGGGCAGGCGCAAGGGCGCAGGTGAGGCAGGCGCGAGGCGCGCGACGGGGCAGGAGGCACGACAGCGCGCTTCGGGCAGGGCAGGAAAAAAAAATTACTTGGTGGGCCCT